TAGCCGCGGGGCCTGTTACTCCTGTATTCCGGGGACTTCGTCCGGTAGCCGCTGTGCCAGTCTGCCTCCTGTTGCCTGTGTGTCTGCAGCTTCAGCCGTCGCCTCCTTTCTCCTCTCCTCTCACTCTCTCTCCTCCTCCTCACTTGCCCGTTGTGACTACCACTAGCTTTGCTCATAATTGTGAACTTAAACTATTGCTTCTTGAACTTGTGCTCAGAATGTGTGGTGACATTGTGATCCACCCTGAGCTTGTACTCCTTTGCTTACTCTGCTGATTACACCCCACTTTGGCTATGGGGGTGTGTCAGAATGTTATCTTATGCTCTAGCCTGTAGTGGGGTGCTCTATAGCGAGTACAACCCTTCTAGGGTTTGCTATTTGTATCCTCATTCTTGCTAGTGCAATCCTCTTCTTTCTCCTAAACTTTAACAGGCGGCTGCTCCAGGGGCTGCTGCTGCTGGGGCGGCTGCTCCAGGGGCTGCTGCTGCTGGGGCGGCTGCTCCAGGGGCTGCTGCTGCTGGGGCGGCTGCTGCTGGGGCGGCTGCTCCAGGGGCTGCTGCTGCTGGGGCGGCTGCTCCAGGTGCTGCTGCTGCTGGGGCGGCTGCTGCTGGGGCGGCTGCTCCAGGGGCGGCTGCTGTTGCAAGGCAGGCCGCTCCAGGGGCGGCTGCTTCAGGGGCGGCGGCTCCAGGGGCGGCTGCTGCAGCGGAAAGTAGGAGGGAGGGGAGGGGAAGGGCGCGGCCCCCATTGTGCCCTGACGGGCGATGTGCTAGGGAGCCGCGCAGGTCCCCAAAAGTGCCTCGACTGGCAACGAGAGGGGACCGCGCGCAGGCCCCTAAGGCGCCGCGACGAGGCAACGGGAGGGGCCGGCTCGCGGGCCCCGAAAGTGCCGCGACGAGGCGACGGGAGGGACCTGCGTGCAGGCCCCCAAAACGCCTCGACGAGGCGACGGTCGGGGCCAGTGCGCGGGCCCCTAAGACGCCGCGACGATGTAGGAACCCGCCGCGCGCCTCGGGGCGCACGGCGGGCAGAAAACCGCCACGCGCTCCGAGCGCGTGGCGGGAAGAAAAATGTGATGTCGCACGCCACGGGGCGCGCGACACACAGTAGGGCAGCGGAATCGAGTGGGCCCACAGGCCAGGAACGTTAAGCTCTGATAACATATCAGAATCCTAGCGTGAGTTTGGCTTAGGAGCCATAGTAGCTTAGGTGACTTGGTGAAGTTCGAGGGTGTAGGGTGTAAGGAAAATGTCGAGAGAATTGTGGAAGGAGAATGAATGGGGTTTGACTAGCAAGAGTTGGGATACAAGTACAACACCCTAAATTGGGTTGTACTCATTACAGAGTACCCCACTGCAGGCTAGACAGCAAATACATTCTGACACGGTCCACGTAACAGTGTCGCTGCGAGCCGAATCCTTGCTGCGTCGTGTTGCGGGGTCGAACAGCCAATGGCCTCGAAGTAAATTTCGAGGGTGGCCACGAATCGCCGGACGTCGGATCCCTTCGCGCTTGGATCGAACGCCTCCGGGAGCCTCGGTCGTGCTGCTTCGAGGTTCGGCGACAGTGGTGCCATTGGTCCGTGAAATGTCGGTGTCGCCACTGCTGCTGGAGTTGTCGGTGCTGCAGTCGCTGCGGTCGCTACTGCTGCGGTGGCGAACCCTGGTTGGCTTGTCAGAAAAGCCTCGAGTCGACGAAGCGTCGCCTGCGTCTGCTCCATGTCGGTGCGGAGGCTTGCAATGTCGCTCGTAGTCGCGTAGTTGTCGCCTTGGCCCTCCATGCCTGACATCAACGCGTCCGAAAAACCGAATCGAGGGGGAGCGAAAAACACGGAACCGGTTTTACGTACCCGAAATCGATGTTTGACTGCGTCGCCCCCGCGGTTTTTTGAAGACTGGTTTTAGCGGTCGAAAGAACTTCGCGTGTAAACGGGCTCTGGTTACCAAGTGTGAGGATCTAGGATCGAGCTCAGAAAAGAGAATTTGAATTGAATGAATCACCTGGGTACAACACGAGGCTATATATAGGCTCGACACAAGGCCCCGTAACCAGGTGTTACGCGAAGGTTCCGCGGGTCGCGAAGCGTCCCGAACAGATCCTTACCGAATTCGGTAGAAGGCAATTCAGTGGCAACCGAAAAGCCAGAATTCGGTGCACGCAACCTAGCTCGGTGCTATAACTATAATAAAATATAGGAAAGCACCTAGCCTAGGAAAGCAAGCAATTCATGCATGCATATAATTATCCTATGCTAGAAATAGTATAATAAAGTAAAGGCAAGCAAGCATAGCTGGCATAAGCCGTCGTACTCTCACAGCACTGAAGGCCTCGCGCAGCTCGTTGATCTTTGAGGTCTACCTCGCCAGCTGATGAACGTGCTCGCGCGCATCATGCTTCATGTTTTTAAGCTCAACTTCCAGGTACTTGTTTTTGTCGTCCTGGTCAGAGAGCTCCCTCGTGAGGTTGGTGATGAGTGACTGCTGCTGCTGGATGCGCGTATCCTGCTCAACAGCATGATCCTGCAGCTTAGCAATTTCAGCATGCAGAATGTCCTCCTCCCCTTCCAACTCAATGTCATCCTCCTGAGACTCCCCTTCCTGCTCCTTGGAATTTTCAGCAGCTGGAGGGTCCATTGCAGGGGAGTCAACAGCAGGTTCCTTCTCAGCCATTTCCTCATCCATGTTGTTCAGGTCAATTTTCTGCACACAAGCTTCCAGTTCAGCATTGGAGTTGTTGCCTTCAACACCACCAGCATTGGAGTTGGAAGAAGCCATTGAGAGCAAAGTCACTGTATTATAAAAAAAATAGTTACAGATCTACTGCAAATTGTTATCACCGCAGTGAATAACCAAGATTTTCTCCAAAGGAGAAATTTCTTCAATAGATCTTACAACCACAGCAATGTGAAAAACACCTCTGTTGCAAAATATCCTTACCATCGCAGTGGATAAGGCAAGAACAATCACAAAGTGATTGTCTTCAACAGAGAATGTTAATTCACACAGGTTGCAACTTCTTCACAGTAGCTCCAATGGTTCCACCAGCAGGGAGGGAGGGAGGGCTTAGAACTCTTGGAGAAGCTTGTAGATCTTGAAAATTGAAGCTTGAGTAGCTTGTAGTCTTCACAAGTTTATAATATGGAGAATCACAACTCCTCCAAGAAAAAGAAAAAGAAAATCCTCCTAGATGCCCACAAGGCAAGGATCTACTAATAGCTCTGATTACCAATGTAACGGATCTAGTAAGAAAAAGGGCATTTACCCATATAATAATAGCTTCTAGTACAACCAGAGAGTATCAGCTCCTGGAAATGACTAAGTCTGAGAGTTGCTGGGAAAATGCAGTAACAAATCTTGGAGGGTGAGTTGAGGAGAAGACAATCCTATTTCCCAATTGATTAGTTGGGAGTAGGAAATGAAGAATGAGCCAAGAGGCTTCAGACCCCTTCCCTAGACCCCCTTGGGGTGCAGCCACCTTCCCCATGGCAAGGAAGGGTGCACCACAATGGGCCTTGCCCATGTGGCAAAGGTGAATCCTTTTACTCAATGACATGGCACAAACAATGGCATAAAATGCTGTGTATGCAATATGTTATCCATACCTGTCATGTTATAACTGGTTGCAATTCCAACGCAAGAGTTGAGTTGGACTTCGAATGTTTGTGATTGGCTATATTTCCAACCAGCGGCGAGGGCCTTGTCGACTCACTTTGTATAAAAGTGTTCTGATTGGTTGGCTTGCCAACCAGTCCGTTTCCCCGCTTTTCAACCAGTTCATTTCCATGTCCTCTTCCCAACCCAGGTTCAATGTATCGAGACCCTGGGTTGGTTGGGTATCGAAATGTTACACGGGGAGGGCGTTTCAGAGCAAGAGCGTTGGCGACGAGCTGTGTGATGGGAAGGGAGAGAAGAACGGCGACAAGGGGGGGGCATTTCGGGGAGAGAGCTAAAGCCAACGAGTTGAGCGATGGGGCGACGACACATCGAGGGTGACGGGAGGGGAGGGGAGAAAACGAGGTCGACATGAAGGGAGGGGGAAGAGCGAGGGCGACGGGGAGGGAGGGAAGAAAGAAAGGGCGACGGGGAGGAGGGGAGAGACCCGCGAAGGTGATGGGAGGGGAGCGGACAGCGGACGAATGACTGAAAGGTAGTGGAGATGCCCAAGGCGCGAGACAGGACACTAGCCGCTGCGGGAGGGTAACGATCGTTTGCGGAAGGGAATAAACTGACGATACTAAGCGACGTAACAATATTACGCATTCCTGCAGGGTCGATAGTCACTTATCCCGGCCACAAACACCTACTGTTGTCAGCTAAATTATGCTAGGGAAAAAACTAGTGAGTTCGGGATGAAGAGCAGCTAGTCATGAAACCCAATTCCAGCTTGAAACCAACGTTCGCCTGGCGATGGAAACCATCGCTGGGCAACAGTCGTGCGGGTGTAGCACGATGACATGCGACGGAGGAGATGCGCACGGAAACCTTTTTTGGTGGGAACAGAAAGAATCAAGATTGGCGAAAGCCAATCACATTTGTTCACAGTGCTGCTCTTTTTGTTAGGAACAGTGCTCCATCGGCCCCATCTCGGTAGCACCATTTCAAGTTGGGACAGGGTTCATTATTTTATATTTCGGTTTTAAAGCCAGCAGGCAAAATAGTGACCCCCCCCCTTCTAGTTGGGTCCACTTGAAGATGAAGTATTTTTGTTTTGTTTTGGAATGTTGGAATTGCTGTATGTGTGCTTTTTTTTCCGACCCTCGGACGAGTTTCTTATTGGACCAGGAACGATAGTTCATTGTCAATTCTGATTGGCAGCCAAGTTCTCTCACATGTACATGTGCGAATTTGGCGCAAAGTTGAGCGACGAGCACTCCTGCATTCACTAGAGCCAATACTTCACCAAATTCACAACTAGCAACATCTCAAGCTAAATCCCAAGCAGACGCACATGTACGTGATGAGAGTGAAAGTGTTTGAACGTTATTAGAGCTAGTAGAGCTCTGATCAATGTGCTGCCTTGGACTTGAGGCCTGGGAGAGGTGCAATAACGGGAAACAGAAGAGAAAAACAGCACTAGGGGGGAAATTATGATGGGCAAGGTGACGCGAATGAAGGGAAAGAGGGAGGGCGACAGGAAACGGGAGGGCGACGGGAAGGGAGGGCGTAGGAAACGGGAGGGCGACGGAAGAAGGGGGGCGACGGGAAACGGGAGGGCGACGGGAAACGGGAGGGCGACGGGAAACGCGAGGGCGACGGGAAACGGGAGGGCGACGGGAAACGGGAGGGCGACGGAAAACGGGAGGGCGACGGGAAACGGGAGGGCGGGAAACGCGAGGGCGACGGGAAAAGGGAGGGTGACGGAAGAAGGGAGGGCGACGGGAAACGGGAGGGCGACGGGAAACCGGAGGGCGACGGGAAACGCGAGGGCGACGGGAAACGGGAGGGCGACGGGAAAAGGGAGGGCGACGGGAAACGGGAGGGGGGCGGGAAACGGGAGGGCGACGGGAAACGGGAGGGCGACGGGAGAGAGGATAGGCGGCGGGAGAGAGGGTGTCGAGAATAGATGGAAAGACAGAAAAAACAAACAAACCAAACACAATAACAGAGTACGGAAAGGGTCACGCTGACGCGATAGCAGAGGGAGAACGAGAGAGGCGACGGAGAAAGGAGGGCATACGTGATGGGAGAGTCGAAGGTCGCCGGGAGGGCTATTCGAGGCGAGCGAGAAGGGAGGATGGGAAGGGAGCAGAAAGAGAGAGGGCAATGGGAAGGGAGCGGAGAGAGAGAGCGCGACGGGAAGGGAGCGGAGAGAGAGCGCGATTCGAAGGGAGGAGCGAGAGAGAGGGCGGAGCGGAGAGAGAGAACGCGATGGGAAGGGAGGGGCGAGAGAGAGGGCGACGGGAAGGGCGCGGAGAGAGAGAGCGCGACGGGTAGGAGGGGCGAGAGAGAGGGCGACGGGAAGGGAGCGGAGAGAGAGATCGCGACGGGAAGGGAGGGGCGAGAGAGAGGGCGATGGGAAGGGAGCGGAGAGAGAGAGCGCGACGGGAAGGGAGGGGCGAGAGAGAGGGCGACGGGAAGGGAGCGGAGAGAGAGAGCGCGACGGGAAGGGAGGGGCGAGAGAGAGGGCGACGGGAAGGGAGCGGAGAGAGAGAGCGCGACGGGAAGGGAGCGGAGAGAGAGGCCGACGGGAAGGGAGCGGAGAGAGAGCGCGATTCGAAGGAGGAGCGAGAGAGAGGGCGGAACGGAGAGAGAGAGAGCGATGGGAAGGGAGGGGCGAGAGAGAGGGCGACGGGAAGGGCGCGGAGAGAGAGAGCGCGACGGGAAGGGAGGGGCGAGAGAGAGGGCGACGGGAAGGGAGCGGAGAGAGAGAGCGCGACGGGGCTAGCGACGGGAGGGCGATCGGTAGGGAGGGGCGAGAGAGAGGCCGACGGGAGGAGAGGAGGGGAGAGAGGGCGACGAAGAGGGCGACGGGACGGGCGACGAGATGGCGACGTGACGCGCGACGGAAAGGGAGACGGGTGGGCGATTTGGCGAACTCGAGGATAGCATAGTGGGCGATGAGAGGGGTGAGAGGAATGGCGACGGGAATGGGGTTCTCTGTGATCGCGAGGAAAATATCACTACGCAGCAACGGCGACGAAGTATCACAAACAATCTAATGATAATTTCATTTCTATGCCGCATCAGCCTAATCCCTCGTCTCTGGCTATTCTATGCTAGGCAAGCTCCGTGAGTTAGGCAAGCTACGTGAATGGAGTTGAAGTAAGCATATGTGGAACCCAGGCCCAGCTTGAAAGTCGAAGTCGGGTCCAACCATCAAAACGCACGACAAACAACTGTCGTGCAAATGTCGCATGCAGAAAATGCGAACGCGCGAGCACGATCTGATTTTCTTTTTTTGGCGGGAACGAATCACGTGTGTTCAGTCTGTGGAAGGGCGATGCCCGGAACAGTGTTTTACACAGCCCATCGTCGTTCCAGTTTTGCTTCTTCCGAGCACGATTTCAAGTTGGATCCGCCTTCACTATTTTATATTTCGGTTTTAACAGCAACTTCAAAACTGTTTTCCTTCGCATGAAGGATACTTGTTTATAATGTTGGTTGATTGACACACCTTGCTGTTCAGTGGCAAGATTCCCTCAGCAGGCTTGGTTGGGTTCCTATAGCATTGTCCCAGTATTTCCTAAAAGGATCCTTCTTCCTACTCCATCCATCCATGCAGAGCAGAGCAAGGTTTCTTGGGGCAACAAAGCCCATGACAACCTTTCAGCCCAATGTTCCCATCCCACTCATCCACCCCATCCGCATCCTGTGCTCCTCCTTAATCAAAGAAACATCTCGTGTGTGCAGAGTACTACTGCTGCCAATGCTTGTTGATGTTTACAATAAGATCCTCCCTACAAGTTACAACATCTCAGTCAAATCACTCCATATGAGTAGTTATATAAGGTATACTCTACTGCAGCATGTATTCTCGCACATCGCGAGCCATGGATGGCTTTGAGGAACGCAACGAACCCCATGCCCACCGCCCCGCCCTCCATACCCCCATGCACATCCTGCTCCTCAATAAAAAAACGACTCTAAATGGGGCTGTGCTGTGGTGTGCTGTGCTGCCCACTCTCCCCCCCTGCTCCTTTCTTCTCCCTTCTCTACTTCATGTATTCTCGCACGTCGCGAGCGATTGACTCCAGGAAAGCAACAAAACCCATGCCCACCGCCCCGCCCTCCACGTCCCCATCCACATCTTGCTCCTCGATCAGAAACGTCTTCAAAGGGGGCTGTGCTGTGTCGTGATGTGATGTGCTGTGCTGTGCTGTCTGCTCCTCTCCCCTCCTCCACACTCCTCCCTTCTCTACTTCATGTATTCGCGCACATCGCGAGCAATCGATTCAAGAAACGCAACAAACCCCATGCCCACTGCCCCGCCCTCCACGTCCCCATCCACATCTTGCTCCTCGATCAGAAACGTCTCAAAGGGGGCTGTGCTGTCCACGCCTCCCCGGATGGTGATTGTACGCGGCGTGATTATGCGGTCGGCCTTCAGCCGGTTGATGGTCGTCCGCAGCAAGCCTAGGAGGGACGGTTGTTGAGAGGGAGAAGAGGGGGAAGGGAGGACAAGTGGCATTGGTGACTGTACGTGGTGTGATTATGCGATCGGCCTTCAGCCTGTTGATGGTCGTCCGCAGCAATGCTAGGAAGGGGGGGAGGGAGGGAGGGACGCACAGAGGGAGTGAGGGGAGGAGGGAGTGAGGGGGATGACAGAGAGGAGATATGGGGTGTTGAGAGTGACAAGTGCTCCTGGGGAGGAGGCAAGCAGGGGGCACGCATGCTAGGGTAAGAAAGAGAAGGGCTACTCACCTTTTTGAGGCGGTGGGAAGGGAAGATCCGCAGGGGCTGCAGGCGAGTAGGAAGATGGGGCTGCAGGCGAGTAGGAAGATGGGGCTGCAGGCGAGTAGGAAGATGGGGCTGCAGGCGAGTAGGAAGATGGGGCTGCAGGGGCTACGTACTGTGTTGTGGTTGAGGGGAAACTGTAACACTTCTTACTTGTTTGAGGCGGTGGGAAGGGAAGATCCGCAGGGGCTACAGGCGAGTAGAGGACGATGATGGTGCTGAAGACATCGAGCAGAAAGAATGGTCTGCAGGGGCTACTCGTTTGCGGGTAAAAGAAGATCAACTTACTCGTTTGCGGCGGTGGGAAGGGCAGGTCTCGTCTGCAGGGGCAGCAGGCGAGTAGAAGGCGATGATGGTGCTGAATGCACTGAGCAGAAAGATGGGGCTGCCGCTGGTGACGAGTGGTGCTGGTGATGTAGAGACACAAGCAGGTTCGGCTTATGGAACCAGAGGTGAACTTACTTGTTTGTGGTGGAGGGAACGGGAGGTCTGCAGGTGCTGCAGGCGAGTAGGAGACGATGATGGTGCTGAGTGCATCGAGGAGGAAAATTGGGCTGCCGCTGGTGACGAGTGGTGGTGGTGACGGTGAGTGGTGCATGTGATGGTGACTGGTGCTTGTGATGAGGCAAGTAGGGAACGCATGCTAGGGTAAATGAAATGTTACTCACTTGTTTGTGGTGGTGGGAAGGGCAGGTCGGGGGGAGCGGCGGGCGAATAAAAGATGATGATGGTGCTGAATGCATCGAGGAGGAAAATGGGGCTCCCGCTGGTGACGAGGGCAGCACGGCTCAGGGAGTGGCGGGGGAAGGCGGGGCGGTCGGGAGTGGTGTAGGAGGAGAGGACGGGGTAGACAGCCCGCATGAGGAATGAAGGATCTAGAGAACTGCGGTGGGGGGGAAAACAGAGGGGTGAAGAGCAGTAGAGGTGGACAAGAATGAGGTACAGAGTGGTGGAGAAAGGTCGGTCGGGAGTGGTGAAGGAGGAGAGGACAGGGTAGACTGCCCACATGAGGAAGGGGGGGTCCTGGGAACTGCGGTGGGGAGGGGCGGGAATGGCAACAAAGGGAGTGGGAATAGCAACAGAGGGGTGGAGAGTGGTAGAGATGGAAAGAACGAGGTACAGATTGGTGAGAGAGTGAGGCGCAGAGTGGTGTAGGAGGAGAGGACTGGTTAGACTGTCCGCGTGAGGAATGAAGGGTCCAGGGAACTGCGGTGGGGAGGGGCGGGAATGACAACAGAGGGGTAGGACTGGTTAGACTGTCCGCATGAGAAATGAAGGGTCCAGGGAACTACGGTGGGGAGAGCACAAAAGAGCAGGAAGAGATGCAATGAAGCGTTGAAGGAGGGGAGTAGGAGGGTAGCACCAAATCGGGAGATGTCCCAAAACACGTCTCAAAATCTTGAGACATCTCAAGAACGTCAAGAATACCTTCAATTTTTACCAAGGTGACTTTTGAGTCGACTCAAAAGTCACAACGTCAAGAATACCTTCAATTTTTTCCCCACACCTTGGCAGCCACAGCAGAAGAATTCTGCAGACAGCTGGAGGGAGACAGGGGGAGGAGAACAGAGGTGTAGATTGGTGGAAAGAGTGGAAAAATGGTGGAGAGGGGTGGAGAGCTCTCACCTGTATAGGCAGTGCAGGAACGTGCGCAAGACAGGATGCACCCGTTCCCTTGGCAGCTGCAGCAGCGGCGAGCAGAGGAGAGAGCTATAGAGGCCTAGGGAGATATTGAGCGGTGGAGTGTGGTGGAGGTGAGCAGAGATCTTACCTGTATAGGCAGTGCAGGAACGTGCGCAGGTCAGAGTGAACCCCTTCCCTTGGCAGCTGCAGCAGAGGAGATCGCAGGAGCGCAAAGGCAAGCCGCGGCAGCAGCTGCAGCTGTGGGCAGGCTGAGAAGGAGAGATCTAGAGGAAGGTGGGGAGAGAGGTGGAGAGCGGTACACAGTGCTCACCTGTAGAGGCAGTGCAGGAACGTGCGCAAGTCAGGATGCACCCCTTCTCGTGGCATCTGCAGCAGTGGAGATCGCAGGAGCGCAAAAGCCAGCCGCAGCAGAGGCTGCAGCTACGGGCAGGCTGAGAAGGAGAGATCTAGGCGAGTCACAGAGTGGGGCTGGTTGAAATGAAGAGAGGTGGAGAGTGGTACAGAGCTCTCACGGTCTCACCTGTATAGGCAGTGCAGGAACGTGCGCAAGTCAGGGTGAACCCCTTCCCTTGGCAGCTGCAGCAGAGGAGACCGCAGGAGCGCGAAAGCCAGCCGCGGCAGCGGCTGCAGCTGCGGGCAGGCTGAGAAGGAGACGTCTAGGCGAGTCACCGAGTGGGGTTGGTTGAACTGAAGAGAGGTGGAGAGAGGTGGAGAGGGGTGGAGAGCTCTCACGGTCTCACCTGTATAGGCAGTGCAGGAAAGTGCGCAGGTCAGGGTGAACCCCTTCCCTTGGCAGCTGCAGCAGCGGAGAGAGCTGGACAGGAGTACGGAGAGAGTGAGAGTGGTCGAGAGAGGTGGAGAGCGGTGGAGAGTGGTCTCACCCGTATAAGCAGTGCAGGAACGTGCGCAGGTCAGGGTGAACCCCTTCCCTTGGCAGCTGCAGCAGCGGCGAGCGCAGGAGAGCAAAAGCCAACCGCGGCAGCGGCTGCAGCTGCGGGCAGGCTGAGAAGGAGACGTCGAGGCGAGTCACCGAGTGGGGTTGGTTGAACTGAGCGAGGCCAAAGGCGTGGTTGTAGTGGGCCGTGAGAATGACCAGCCAGTCCTGTAGGAGCAACCTGCCTTCCCGTACTCCCTCTTCCAGCGATGCCCGAATGACCTGTGGGAAGGAAGAGGGAGGGGATGGAAAGGGCTGGTTGAACTGGGCGAGTCCGAAGGCGTGGTTGTGGTGGGCCGTGAGAATGACCAGCCAGTCCTGCAGGAGGAGTCTGCCTTCCCTTACTCCTTCCTCAAGGGACGCTCTGATAACCTGTGGGAGGGGAGAGAAGGTGAAAGAGAGAGGGACAGAAGGGGCTGGTTGAACTGGGCGAGTCCGAAGGCGTGGTTGTAGTGGGCCGTGAGAATGACCAGCCAGTCCTGCAGGAGCAACCTGCCTTCCCTTAATCCCTCTTCCAGGGATGCCCGGATGACCTGAGGAACAGTGGGGAGAGAGAAAAAGAGAGAGGGACAGGGACAAGGAGAGGGACGGAAGGGAGTCTGCCCTCCCTTAATCCCTCTTCCAGCGATGCCCGGATGACCTGAGGAGCAGTGGGGAGAGAGAGCGGTGAGAAGGAGTGGGAGAGGAGAGAGAAACGACCGACGGAAGGAAAGTGGGAGCACATAAAGACCCCCCGAATAGCCTCGTGCACGACTTTTGAGAAGCCTAGAAACCAGCAGTTAAAGACCCATCGCGTGTAATGAGTCGATTTTTGAGTCGATTCAAAGATCCCGCGAATAGCCTCGTGCAGGACTTTTGAGAAGCCTAAAAATCAGCAGTTAAACACCCATCGCATTTGCGAGCAAGGTGAGAATGGCTTCGTTACCAGCAGACTCGTATTTCTCCCTCGCCCCCCTCGCCACGTCCAGTCATGAAACATCTCAGACACAGGAAAACCTCATTCTTTTTAGGCGCCTTCAAAAGACGATTTTTGAGGCGCCTCAAAAGACGTCTCAAACACTGGAAAATCTTCTGAGTCGACTCAAGAACAGACCCACCTTGTGTGTGAGAACATTTAGGGCGCGTTGCATTTGGCGCACATAGCTCAAAACTCAACTAACCACTTTGAACCATGCCGTAACGCTCTCTAAAACTTCAAACTTCGACAAAAAAATCGACCCTGCAACACGCCCTTAGAAGAGCTCGTTATCAGCAAACTCGTATATCTCCCTCGCCCCCCTCCCACTTGGCCAACCCCGGGTCCCAAGACTAGAAGAGGAGAAGAGAGGAGAGCACCCACCTTGCGTGTGATAACAGTCAGAATAGCTTCGTTATCAGCAGAATCGTATACCCCCCCTCGCCCCCCTCGCCACATCCACACATATCATCTTCACTCTCAGCCTTCTCCTCCTCAGCACCACGCCCCCTTCAGCACCGCTCCTCTCCTGCTTCCATCCTCCCCGTTCCTTCCATTACTCACTTGTGACTTACCTTGTGTGTGAGAACGGTTAGAATGGACTCGTTATCAGCAGACTCGTATATCTCCCTAGCCCCCTTTGCCCCACCCCTTCACTTCGCCAACCCCATGTCCCAAGACTAGAAGAAGAGAGGACTCACCTTGTGTGTGAGAACAGTGAGAATGGACTCGTTATCAGCAGACTCGTATATCTCCCTAGCCCCCTTTGCCCCACCCCTTCACTTCGCCAACCCCATGTCCCAAGACTAGAAGAAGAGAGGACTCACCTTGTGTGTGAGAACAGTGAGAATGGACTCGTTATCAGCAGACTCGTACATCTCCCTCGCCCCCCTCGCCACCTCCAGTCATAAGACGTCTCAACCACCGGTAAAGACGCACCTTGTGTGTGAGAACAGTGAGAATGGACTCGTTATCAGCAGACTCGTACATCTCCCTCGCCCCCCTCGCCACCTCCAGTCATAAGACGTCTCAACCACCGGTAAAGACGCACCTTGTGTGTGAGAACAGTGAGAATGGCCTCGTTATCAGCAGACTCGTAGATCTCCCTAGCCCCCTTTGCCACGTCCACACATATCGTCTTCACTCTCAGCCTCCGTCTAAGCACCACCCCTCTTCTCTTCCCACCCTTCCTCCCACTGCTGCTGCTGCTGCTGCTCCCCACCCCACCTCCTCCCGCACCTGTCTCTCTTCCCCCCTCCCCCTCCTTTTCTCCTCCTCCTTCTTTCCCCTTTCCTCCCTCCATCCCTCCTTCAGCAGTCCCGTTCACACCTGTAGCAGCCCCATCCCCGTTACTAGCCGCCCCGTTACCCCCCCCAACCCCCTCGCCCCTCTCCCCTCCCCCTTCCACCGGAATGATCACAGTATACTGAAACGCCAGTTGTAACACTGCTCCCCGGTTACCACCACCACTCCCTCCCTTCTCTCTCCCAGCCCTCCCCTTCACCCCAAACCCAGCCTTCCCCCGAAACTCCAAGTCAAATGCGTACGAATCAAATGGATCACATCTAATGATATGATAAAGATTCTCATACTGAGCATCGGGGAAGAAGTGACCGTAGGCTCGGACGGCCCGAAGCTCCCGGGAGGTTCGGAGCCGGAGCACCCCGCCGAAAGCGGAGGGTCGGCAGAGCATGCGGTATATGTCTTGAGGGAGGGTAGCCTCGTCTAAAGAAGGGTAAAGAAAGAGAGTACCCCCGCTTTCCACACTTAAGCAACGGAGAGAGGCTAGGTCACAGTATGGGACGGGCAGGGAAGAAGGGGTGGAGGGAGGAGGATCGGCAATGGTCACAGCAGCGACCCCAGCAGCAGCAGCGGCAGCAGCAGAAGCAGGATCTGTAGTTACCGCACCCCCGGCCTCTCTACTAGCATTTTCATCCCCGTTACTAGCATAACTCGGTACAGCAAACAGATCCACGCACACCCCCGCTTGCACCGCAGCCGCAGCAAGCTCCCTATAAAACGGCGTCTGCTCCTGTAGCAACCCCTTATCCGCTACAACCGGGTCTGCTACATCCTTGGCGCTCCTGCTTCTCTGACTCGCCGCTACAGCCAGGCTGGCGAGAGCTGTATCGTACCGAACCGTACTCAACGCCCCCATACCATGGTTCGGGGCTCCAGAGAGGAAAACCAGTAATCTGGCCCCTACAAACGGGCCTACTTCCCCTGCGGCCGCTGCTGCCGCTGCTGCTGCGGCGATACTCACGTTACCCCCACCACCGCCGCCACTTCCACTGGTATTGATGACGTCAGCTCGGAGGCCTCTGGCTATTCTAGCACTCGGACCATCCTCCATACCCCCTAAATACCTAATTAAAGCGTCCAAAGCCGTTCCGAAGCCCCTAACACCGTCCTTCCTCCCCCCTCTCTCCGCGTCCTTCCCTCCCTTCCCCCCTCCGCCCTTCCCCCCCGCGCCCTGCGCCGCTCCTCCCTTCCCCCCACCGCCCTTCCCCCCTCCAGACGCGTCCAAATCGAGGGGAGGAGGGTCGGGGCGGAGGGTTTCGAGAGCAGCAGCTGCGTGCTCCTTGTGACGCGAGAGGGACGCGAGGAAGGCGGGGAGGGGGAGGAGATCGCCCAGGGCTAGGGGTAAGCGGTGAGCAGAGGAGGCGGGGATGGCGACGGATTTCACTGCTGCTACGGGGCCTTGTAGATCATAAAGGCCGACCTGGTAGGGGGGGAGGGAGGGACGGAGGGAGGGACGGAGGGAGGAGAGGGAGAGATGAGTGAAGTGGGGTTTCGAGGGCGACAGCTGCGTGCTCCTTGTGGCGCGAGAGGGACGCGAGGAAAGCAGGCAGAGGGAGGAGGTTGCCCAGGGCTAGGGGCAGGCGGTGAGCAGAGGAGGCGGGGATGGCGACGGATTTCACTGCTGGCACGGGGCCTTGTAGGTCATAAAGGCCGACCTGGTAGGGTTGGGGGGAGTGGCGAGTGGTGGAGAGGGGTGGAGAGGGGTGGGGGGTGAGTGCAGAGGCAGGAGATCGCCCAGGGCTAGAGAGGCAGGTGGTGGGAGGGCGAGGCGGGGTTGGTGACGGACTTGACTGCTGCTACGGGGCCTTGTAGATCGTACAGACCCACCTGGTAGGGGGAGCGGACGGAAGGAGTGGTGGGAAGGGGTGGAGAGGGTTGTTAGGGGAGGGCTAAGGGCAGGCGGTGCGAGGGCGAGGCGGGGATGGTGACGGACTTGACTGCTGCTACGGGGCCTTGTAAGTCGTACAAACCGACCTGATAGGGGAAGGGGGGGAGTGGGGAGTGGTGGGGAGGGGTGGGGTGGAGTAGGGGGTGAGGTGCAGAGGTAGGAGGTCGCCCAGGGCTAGAGGCAGGCGGAGGGAGGAGGAGGGGGGGATGGCGACAGATTTGACTGCTGCCACCGGGCCCTGTAAGTCGTACAGACCCACCTGGTAGGGAGGGAAGGGGGGGGGGGGGGGAGGAGAGGGGAGGGAGGTAGGGAGAGAGGGGCAAGAGGGAATCGCCACCCCTAATACTGCTGCTACGGAGCCCTGCAGGTCGTACAGAGCGAATGCAACCCGAACAGAGCAGAAGGAGAACATAATACTCACCTTGCTTCCGAACGTAACCAGCCCGAACAGTGCAGCAGGCGAGAGCGCTTCTAACGCGGCCAGCAGCGAGCTCTTAACGAGTTCCAGAAACTCCTCTGAGCCTGACACGTCAACCATGGCGATATACACCGGCCGCTTGCGAATTTCCGCTTCGTCCAACACGTGGCAGCTGCTAATTGGCTCTCCCAACCCATGCGGAATGGAACCTGCGACCTCTCCGTCGCCCTGCGACTCTCCTTGCTCAAATTCCACTTCGTCAGCGTCGCCCTCCGCGGCAACGTCCAGCTCGACGAGCGTGTGCGACAGCTCTGCGACGTCTGCGACGTTCGATCCCCCGTAGCGACGCAGCTCCGCGTCGCTGAACGGATTCACGACGTCGCACAGCGAGCACCGCCACGAAAACCGATCGATCGCACAGTACGGATTGATATACGCATAGCAATCCTCGCACCGCGCCACGTCATCAGCTAGCGGAAGCGGCGCCGGCGAAAGCGCCGCGGGAAGCGGCTGCAGAGCCGTGCCGCCAGACGCAGAATTAAGAGACGACGACGAGCCGAAGCGCGGGAAAGAGGAGTTAGAAGACGATTTTCGAATGCTGCTTCCGCCGGTGCCGACGCTAGCTGCGACGCCGCTTCCCGGAATACCCGCTTCGTCATCTAGAGCGAATGGTTGGACGACGCAGCCCCACGGGAGACCCGTCGCATCGCGCGATTCCGGATCTAGCGGAAATTTGTTCACCGTGAAACGAATGGCCATTCTGAAGGCTGGCGATCAACTCTTTTCGCGACTAGGGAACTGGTTACCGGATTGGAACGGATATCGGAGTGTTCGCGACCGTCGGCCTGATCAAGAGAAAACTTCCAGCTTTAGAAATGTCGCGCACGATAAAACGGTGGGTCGGCCACGGCATTGGCTACGGTACGAGAAAACAATGGAAACGAGCTGAGCGAGCTTCAGCTGATCATCGGAGGACGTCAAGTATACGAAATGGATTTTTTAGGGAGGTAACATTGCTAGTTTCAAGCAATGCGTAATATTTAGGTTTGGGGCGTTTAGGGTCGACAAGAAATGCACCGAGAGCGCACAATAGAGGATCTGTCCGGAACAGCGAAAGACGCTCCTAATTTTACCTGTCCCTAATCTCCTCGCCAGTGTCCCAACGAATCTGGATTCCTGATCATATTGAACGAACTTCTGCTGGTAGTTGAGCCCCCACCATGCTGTACCACACTGCATCCCACTGAGAGTAATAGCACCGTGCACAACCACTCTAAAGGTATGACCTTTCGCCTTCTTCGAACCCAACGGAACAACATCTGTCCCGCCAAATCAGCCGTCAAGATCCAACTTCAAGAGATTCCTCGAAACAGGGAAGCGCGCCAAAACAGGAAACCCATAAATTAAAGGTTCTGCCGGGATTCGAACCCAGGTTGCTGGATTCAAAGTCCAGAGTGCTAACCACTGCACCACAGAACCGATGTGTGTCGAATTATCAAGTTAATCCAACTTAAAGTTTAACTTGGCTATTGCTTAGTGTGTTTGTTTTTACAGCAATGGCGTACCTCGGAACCACGTCAGCGGGGCTCGAATTCGCGCTACGAGATGAGGTGAGAGCCGCGCAGAGCACGGGTTTCTCTCTCGACCCGCACGCGAGGTGCGAGTACTGCAGCGCAGGTCGCTCTGGCATAGACCTACGCGGTCTTTGCGATTCAAATGTTGAGCGCTGACCCATCGATCAGCCAAGTCTCCTGGGCTGTCTAAGTGGCGATTATGGGGAAAGCCTACTCGCAATGCACCGCTTCTGAGGACCCGCAACCTATAGTCTCTCCTGAACATTGAAAAAGAAATCCTTCGTTACCCACCAGACCATTTTAAACCACTCTTCACCCTCATTCTTACACTTCCCCCCGAATCTATGGTGCCAGCTGGCTGCCAGGCTGGCGGGGAGGGTGTCTGACGTCAGCGCGGTGCATGGCGGGGTGAGGTTCACCACTGGCGCTGCTGCTGAGGTGGGTGCGCGAAGGTTCCACGAAAAGAGCGGGTGGTGATGATTGATCAAGAGGATGCGGGGAGGGGTATGATGGAAGGGATCATGAGAGGGGAAGATCATGAGTGACACCTCAATACCTAAATCTTAAACCCTGAATCTTGGACCCTGAGTTTTATACCCCGAATCTGAAACCCTGATTAACCCTGAATCTAAAATCTAGATTCTTGAACCTTGAATCTTACGCCTGAGCCCTAGTTAGTCTCTTCCCTTGTCCTGCTTTGGTTATTTTCTACTGAACGCAGGAGCTGCAGCAGCTGAGGGCGGTGGACAACCTATACGCGTTTGTAGCCTCACGAGAGGTGCGTCATACGTCCGAGCAATGTATATACTGCTGCTGCCTTTCCTAAGTTATACCAAAATCAGAGACATTTATTCCTCGCGCCACCGCCTCCCTGCTCTGCTGCTTGACCAATCAGGACGTGCCACATGGCAAGGAGGCCGTTGACTACTTCACCGCACTGCCAGCTCAGGTATGTTTTGCAGTGTTTTCATCGATTGTGCGCACTGCTGGCTCCACACTGCCAGCTAAGCAATGTCAGCTCAGCATGCCAGCTCAGCATTGGCATGCCATGACTGATCAACTGTGTGCTCTGTTGTTTCCTACCTGGCATATCCTCACCTGCCACGTCAGCAGATAGACTGGCAGCCAGCCCTCTCGCTTTTCCACCAATGGCAGCAGCGCAGGGAGGATGGAATGACGTCAGCAGCATGCGAAAGCAGACAGGAGCTGACGTCATCAGCTGAAGAGCATGAAAAATCACCTGAGAGGAAGAGGCTGAGACAGGAGGGAGAGCATGCGGTGGCGGTAACACCTGGGGCAACAGACACTGCTGATGTGGCACCACCTGAAGGAGCACCTGGGGAAACACCTGAAGGAGCACCTGTGGGAACGCGTGAGGGAGGCAAGGCAGTGGCGGCGGCAGCGGCAGAGGCAGCAGCAGGAGGAGCAGCAGAGAGGCAGGGTTCCAGTGGGCTGCAGTTTAGAGTGACCTGCCATCGTGTGTGCATGAAGCTTACCAAACACGGGTTCTCCTCCCCTGAAGCCGCTGGTATGTGCTCTTTATATGCATGTATGTGTGTGCGTGTGTGCGTGTGTGCATGTGCATGTGGGGTGGGAACAACAGGAGCAGCAGAGAGGCAGGGATCCAGTGGGCTGCAGTTTCGAGTGACCTGTCATCGAATATGCATGAAGCTGACTAAACACGGGTTCTCCTCCCCTGAAGCTGCTGGTACGTGCCCGCATCTGCGCTTTCCCATGCATCTGCGCTTTCCCATGCATCTGCGCTTTCCCATGCATCTGCATTTGCACCCACATCTGCACTTTCTCGCTCACAGGCGTATTGGTTAGTCTGAGTGAGCATCTCTTGGGATACCACTGTTACGAGGTGACTTTTGAGTCGACTCATAAGTCACCTCATCTGCACTTTCTCGCTCACGGTTCACACACCTCCCACCCCTCCTCTACTGCCATCACCCTTGTCTCACAGGCGCCCTCGGCGAGGGCCTTCTAGAAATCTTCCCGTCCTGGACCGTCAGCCTTGGGCAGTTTGAGTGTGGGCCTTAGAGTATCACGGTTCACACACCTCCCACCCTTCCTCTACTCCCATCACCCTTGTCTCACAGGCGCCTTGGGCGAGGGCCTTCTGGGAATCTTCCCGTCCTGGACCGTCAGCCTTGGGCAGTTTGAGTGTGGGCCTTAGAGTATCACGGTTCACACACCTCCCACCCTTCCTCTACTCCCATCACCCTTGTCTCACAGGCGCCTTGGGCGAGGGCCTTCTGGGAATCTTCCCATCCTGGACCGTCAGCCTTCGCCAGTTTGAGTGTGAGTGTGTGCGCTACCAGCCGCGCAGCATATAATCAGTTGAAGAACGTAGTCTAATAAAAAGCGAGTCTTATCTTACTTTGATAATGTACTTAAGAATGTAGTCTGATGAAGAGCGAGTCTTATCGTACTCCGCCCTTTGGGTTCCCTGCTTGTGCATCTCCTCCTCTGTCTCTCCCCTCCCTCTCCTCCTCTTTCCCAGTGGACGTGCTAGCATTGATCCGGGACTCCCATCTCACTTTGCTCTCTCTCTCTGCCTTTCGTCCCCCCTATGGGTACGTTGCATGTAAATCACTCCCCCCCTTTCCTTTCTTCCCTTCCCCCCTCTCTTACCCTGTCACTTTCCCTCCCCATCTCCCCTTCCCTCCCCCCTAGTGGACGTGCTAGCATGGATCCGGGACTCCCATCTCACGCTGCTCATCGCACTCATCTATGCGTGAGCATACTTCCGTTACCTTGCCTTCCCTTCCCTTTCCTTCCCTTCTCAACAACGTCTCGCCACACCTCCTCCTATCCCCATTTCCCCCTCGCTCATTTCTTCTCCCTCTCCTCTCTGCTCCCCTTCCCCTCCACCACCCCCCAACCTCATAAACTCTCTTACAATGCAAACTGAATTCCTACACTCCATAGTGGTTCTATTTGCTGACATTCATCCCTCCTTCTAAACTGTGGACGCTCGATCGAGAAATCTGACTCTTGCAGTGATTCCCCGAAGAGAAGTGAAGAGGGATCAAAGGAGCAACAGGAACGGCAACTAAAGGAGCAACAAACAGAACAAGTGAAGGAGCAACAGGCAGAGCAAACCAATGGAGAGAGCAAGGATTTGGACAAGTGCGGCGGCAGCGGGGAGGGCAAAAAGAACGCAGGGAGGGCAATTCAAGCGAGATCACACAACGCAGAGAGACAGGTGGGTGTGGCTTGAGCTACTCCGCAGTCTAGGGGGTGGGGACGGCACGGTCGGGAATCAATGCTCCTTGTTCTCAGTTTTTGCTTAAGACTCTGCTGTATTTCTTGAAGTTCTGAACGTAAATCGCACGACAAAATGGGACAGGCAAGGCAAGTACCAGACTAATCAATACTTTTGAGTCGACTCAAAAGTCAGCATGGGACAGGCAAGTCAAGTACCAGACTAATCATGACTTTTGAGTCGACTCAAAAGTCAGCATGGGACAGGCAAGACAAGTGCCAGACTAATCATCTACTCCTCCGCTCCTCCCCCTTCACCCTCTCCCCAGCTCTACTCTTCCCTTCCCTACCGCAAGGCTCATGTCCCAACGTCACCCATCCCCTTCCCGCTCCGCCTCCTCCTCCCCTTTCTCCTTCCCTCCACATACCCCTCCGCCTGCCCTTTCCCCCGTCATTCCCCATCTCCCATCCCCCCAGCTCTACTCCTCCCGCTCCTACCGCAAGGCCCATGTCCTTCCCCATCACCCATCCCCCTCCCGTTCCGCCTTCCCCTCCCCCTCCCTCCCCTTTCCTTCCCTTACCAACAGCTCTACTCCTTCCGCGCCTATCGCAAGGCCCTCGTCCCAACGTCCCTCAAGCCCAGGTGGGTCTGTCTGTTCTGTTTACCGCGTGTCACATTCCCATGATGTGTCTTGGACCGCCTCACATCCCAGCTTGGGACACTCCCTCCTCCTCTCCACCTCTACTCCTCCCGCGCCTACCGTAAGGCCCTCGTCCCAACGTCCCTCAAGCCCAGGTGGGTCTGTCTACCGCCCACCTGTTTGCATTCCCACAAAACCCCATGATGAGACGTCTCAAAAGCCGTCTTCTTACACACGGGCTTTAAGACGCTCCTGAACTCAAGCCCAGGTTGCGCCTTTTCCGCTTCTCGCTCTGTCATCCTCCCCCCTCCACCTCTCCCCACCCCTTCTGGTTATTCCTTCCCTTCGCCCTCCTGCAACTGGCTTATATCCGTGCTTACACCTCGCCACATCCCCACCTCCCTCCTCTCGTCTCCTCCCCCCTCTGCCCCTTTCCCCCCCCTCCTCAGCACAGCTTTCGCCCTCCTGCAACTGGCAAACATCCGCGCTTGCACCTTACAACCTCTTCCTCTCCTCTCTTCATCCTCTCTTCATCCTCTCTTCATCCTCTCTTCATCCTCTCTTCATCCTCTCTTCATCCTCTCTTCATCCTCTCTTCATCCTCTCTTCATCCTCTCTTCATCCTCTCTCCTCTCTCTTTCCCTCTCTTTTCCCCTTCGCAGCACCGCCTTCGCCCTCCTGCAACTGGCGGACATCCGCCCAGGCGACATCGTGCTCGACCCCATGTGAGGCTCACTGTACTCGTTATTGAGCTGTATAGGCGAACTCGTTATAGCCATCCACACTACAGGGAAGCACACCTGCCGCAGGCCTGTTAGCCTTGGCCCTCCTGCAACTGGCGGGCATCCACCCCGGCCACATCGTGCTCGACCCCATGTAAGTCCCTGCATACTCGTTATGAATATCCTCACATCATACTGGCCTTGCCATTGCCCTCCTGCAACTGGCGGGCATCCACCCCGGCCACATCGTGCTCGACCCCATGTGAGGCTTTTTCCTCGTTTACACATACTCTTTATTGAGTTGTAGAAAGGGGACGCACCTGTCAGTCACACACCTGCTGGCCTCCGCCCTCCTGCAACTGGCAGACATCCACCCCGGCAGAGCAACTGGCCTACTCAGCCCCATGACATGTAAGGTTCTTTACTAGTCGTACTGTAGCCAGTCATACTCGTTATAGAGTGGCAGGGTACAGACATGCCACAAATCTGTCTGCCTCCGCCCTCCTGCAACTGGCTGGCGGGCCTCCACCCCGGAGGGGATAACAAATGCTCTGTGGCTGTTCATGCATGAGCACGCCTTGTATCCCTCCATATCGCATGTCACCGCACTAAATCCCTTCGTTCAACCCCCCTTTTTCAGGTGTGGCTGTGGGACTCTCCCTCTGGAGGCTGCTGATTGGTTGAAAAGTTGCGTCAGTGCATTTGGGGGGGATAAAGATGCAGGGGCTGTAGATGCTGCTGCAACCAATAGCATCGCTTGGAGAACCGCTTTAGCCAATAGCAAAGCCTTGGGAATTGCTGCGGCGAACGGGAGCGCCTTGAGAATCTCTGCGGCCAATCAGTGCAAAGAGGAAGCCGCTGTAGCGAATGGGGATGCAGCAAGGAGGAGCCAAAAGGGCCACGTGGCAGGCTGTGATTGGCTGGTCTGGGATGCCTCTGCCCTGCCTCTGCGAACCGGCTGTGTGGATCGGGTGCTCTGTGACATGCCCTTCGGGGTGCGGTGTGGTGAGTGGTTCGAAGTGGTGAAGAGTGGTGACAAGCGGTGACAAATGGTGAAAAGAGGTGAAAAGTGGTGGAGGTGCTTAGTTGATGACTGGCTGTGGATCGGGTGCTCTGTGACATGCCCTTTGGGGTCAGGTGTGGTGAGTGGTGGAAAGCAGTGACAAGCGGTGCTTAGGAGGGGTGTCATGTGTGGATAGGGTGCTCTGTGACATGCCCTTCGGTGTGTGGTGTGGTGAGTGGTGACAAGTGGTGACAAGTGGTGACAAGCAAGCCCCATGCCCGTACCCCGTGCCCCACTCTGCCTGTGTTCTCCATGCCAACCCCTGCATCCGCTGCTTCCAGGAAACTTCAAGATGAGAGAACGGCTGTGCCCCGCAGTGATCCGGCAGGTGTGTGTGTGGAGGGGGGAGGGGGAAGGGGGGTAGAGGGGGGAAGGAGAGGAGAGAGGGGGGGGGAGGAAGAGGAAAAGGATGAGGTGAGGGGGAAGAACAAGAGGGGAAGTTGGTGATATGAGGGCAGTGGGTGGAGATGAGAGAGAGGCTGTACCCTGCAGTGATCCGCTTTTGAGTCGACTCAAAATGAGAGAGAGGCTGCGCCCTGCAGTGATCCGGCAGTGCGGGAGGGAAGGGAAGGGGGGGTGAGGGGAAGGGGGAGGAGGTGAAGGAAGAGGAGGACGGGAAAGATGGGGTGGATATATGACTTTGACAGGTGAGCGAAGAGGAGGAAATTTCTACATTATTACCTAGCTGTTTTTTTCCTTGTCAGCTTTTAATCTCCGTGCTCCTCCAAGCCACGAGTATTTCTTTCCATTATAGAAAATTTCCACATTATGATGTTCTTTTTCTACTTCCCCTTCTCTTTACCCTGCCCTGAAACTCTCAGGTTGCACGTGTACTGACCCCAGGCACTGGTACGTATGCATCCTGCTGCAACCCCCATTTCCTCAATTGCTCCAAGGCCCGCACCCGCATGTGCCAGTCCCACCCAACCCATGCTCTCGTCACGCACACGTGTGCTGACCCCAGGCACTGGTACGTATTCATCCTGCTGCAAACCCCCTCAAATCTGCCAGTTATGTGAAAATATTCAACCCCTCATGTCCCAATGATGTTGAGTATCCTGAGTCGTTGTTTCCCACACCTGTATGGCAAGTCAATTACTTGGATTCTCATAATCGCTTCAATCTGCTTGCCTTTCACCCACTCCCTTGATCTGTCCGACCCAGTGTCAAGTTACCAATCATGTATACTCCCCACAACATAGTATTGCAATCCGATACCTTTCCACAAAAACCGAATGGCAAAAACTTGATTTTTTTCTCATCACTTAGACGTGCTTGCCACACAGTTCCCAGGTTTGTGTCTTTCATTTCAATTCATTTTATTGGCTTGCTAATCCCCTTGCAGGACTGGCAGTGCTGATGGCGGTGGGCAGGGGCGGTGAGGGCAGCCGTTGAGGGGCTTTCTGTGTGTCTGCGGGAGAAGCGATTGCTACATCCCCACCCCCTATCTCCCCCTTTTCATGTCCCGCTCTCCTTTGTCCCCCTGCTCCTTGCAGGACTGGCAGTGCTGATGGCGGTGGGGAGGGGCGTGAGGGCAGCTGTTGAGGGCCAGGCAGTGTGTCTGTCCGTCTGATGCACTTGCTGCTGCTTTCCACCCCCCTCCCCGCCCCTCTTCTCCCCTCCTTCCTATCTCCTCCCTGTCTGCAGGACTGGCAGTGCTGATGGCGGTGGGGAGGGGTGTGAGGGCAGCTGTTGAAGGCCTGTCTGTGTGTCTGCGGGAGAAGCAACGACTGGCTGTGGAAATGGAGGTGAGGGGGGTGGGGAGGGGTTGAAATGGGAGCAAGTGAGTTGCCTCAAAGGCTCTCTGCACTCTACAGAGAAAGGCACAGTTAAAGGAAGGGGTGTGACTTGTGACTCGTGAGGGCAGCCGTTGAGGGCCTGAGCGTGTGTCTGCGGGAGAAGCAGCGACTGGCTGTGGAGATGGAGGTGAGGGGGGATGGGTAGGGGTTGAAATGGGAGCAAGTGAGTTGCCTCAAAGGCTCTCTGCACTCTACAGAGAAAGGCACAGTTAAAGGAAGGGGTGTGACTTGTGACTCGTGAGGGCAGCCGTTGAGGGCCTGAGCGTGTGTCTGCGGGAGAAGCAGCGACTGGCTGTGGAGATGGAGGTGAGGGGGGATGGGTAGGGGTTGAAATGGGAGCAAGTGAGTTGCCTCAAAGGCTCTCTGCACTCTACAGAGAAAGGCACAGTTAAAGGAAGGGGTGTGACTTGTGACTCGTGAGGGCAGCCGTTGAGGGCCTGAGCGTGTGTCTGCAGGAGAAGCAGCGAGTGGCTGTGGAGATGGAGGTGAGGGGACGGGAGTGTGTATGGGGGAGGTAGTATATGAGGCACATACACATATGTGGGGGGCGGAAAAAGAGGCGTGAGAGCAGCTGTTGAGGGTTTGGCTGTGTGCCTTCGGGAGAAGCAGCAATTTTCAGCCGCTGGCTGTCGGAATGGAGGTCTTTTGAGACGTCTCAAAAGCAGTGGTTTTCAGCCGCTGGCTGTCGGAATGGAGGTTAGGGGGGTGGTGGGTGGGAGGTCGGGGGGTTCGGAATGAGAGGTGAGAGGTGTGGTGGTGGAAGGGAATGAGATGTACGAGGGGGGTGAGTGGATGGTGAGGGGAATGGCATATTCCATAATTATAGCATTATTTCAACATCACACCATTTACTGTATGTTGTTTTTCTTCTTCTCGTGACTTTGTCCAGGGTATTCGAGTTGATGTTTATGTGTTGGAGCGAACTGAAGCCGCTGTTCCGGACCCACCGCCACCAGCACCAGCAGCACACCGACTTGCAAGGAAGTGATGTAGTGCTTTTCTTGCCTGGGGATTCTACCCAGGGCATTCGAGTCGATGTCTGTGTGCTTGTCCCTGGAGGAAACTGCAATGGGAGATGCAGTGGAGGGAGCTGCATCTCCCATTGTGGAACCACCACTGCCAGCACTATCAGCAGGACCACCACTAGCAGCACCATTAGCACGACATGCAAGGAAGTGATGTAGTGCTTTCAGACATTCCTACCAGTGATTTACCATAATCATTCAAATTCTTGTGTATGTATTGGATAGAACGACCTGCTGCTAGTGAGGTATATACTACATGGGATTGGATATGGCCTGCCTGGTGTCGACCCTACAAGCCCGGGTGTTGCGGGGTGAAGGCAACGAGTGGAGGAGAGGCAGGTAAGTGGGGACTTGAGTGTCCATCATTCTAAGTGAAGGAGAAACATTCGTGATTTATGTACCACTCGAGGCACATAGCACATGGGATTGTACAGAGTCTGCCAGGCACACCTTAGAAGCCTAGGAGAGGAAGGTTGGTTGGTAGGGCGCTTGAGTGCCCATAGTCCGTGTGAAGGAGAAACATGTCTTATGGATGACCCCACAAGCCCAGGTGATGCAAGGAAAAAGACAAAGAGTGGCAAAGAGGAAAAGTGGATTGGTGGGAACTTCAGTTCCCAAAGTCTAGATGAGCGAGACACATGTCTTATCGATGTACGGTATTAGTGAAGCATATACCACGTGGTATTGTGTAGCGTCTGCTGGACACAAACACACGCACAGGTGATGCTTTGGGAATTCTCGAGAGGAAAGGCAAAGAGGAGAGGCTTCATAAGTGGTTACAAGCATGAGTAAGCGCACATACTCTATGCGAAGGCAGGGAGGCTTCATGCTGAGGAGAAAGCTGCCTGGTAGGGTGCCCAGGATCTGTATAGGAAAATCAGAGGAAGAGAATAGAACTCAAGAACTTGCTGCTGCTGCTCCTGCTCCTGCTGCCGCTGCTGCGGCCGCTGCTGCTGCCGCGGCTGCCGCTGCTGCTGCCGCAGCTTCTGCTGCTGCTGCTGCTGCTGCTGCTGCTGCTGCTGCTGCTGCTGCTGCTGCTGCTGCTGCTGCTGCTGCTGCTGCTGCTGCTGCTGCTGCTGCTGCTGCTGCTGCTGCTGCTGCTGCTGCTGCTACCACCACTGTTGCTGCCACTGCCAACACTGCCACTTCCACTGGTGCTGCTGGTGCTTCAGAATCGCAAATGTGGTCTTTCTACTGCTCCTGCCACTGCTGCTGCTGATGTTGGTGCAGCTGCCACAGTTGCAGTTCCAATTGCCGCCACGCCAATGCTTGAGAGAACTGAAAAAGCACGGTGGTATATTTATGAGGTATATTTATGATTCAGATTCTGAGCCTCTGTTGTGGTATATTTATGAGGTGACTTTTGAGTCAACTCAAAAGTCACCTTAATTCATGGTGCAGCTGTTGCCATGGCAGGGTTCGGCTCGAGCAATCCAAGACAACGCGAGCTCCATATTTTGCTGCTGCAGATCCCCACCAGATGTTACCGGCACACTGCTGCTGCTCCTTCTCTTCAGTGGTGTGCCGGTTGGTTCTTTTGCTGCAACTACCTGTAAAACCCAACACGAGCTCTGGATATTTCTCCTGCAGATCACACCACTGCCGCTCCTTTGCAAGCAATGGTGTGCCGGCTGTTGCATTTGCTGTAACTATTACCTGTTAACACCTGCAGTCCCCAGTGTGCACCTCGCATTTTTTTTATTTTTAAGTTTTTTTGTGCCCCTTATACATACATTGCATGCACTGTACATCAGGCCCTACGATATCAGGAATTTTTCCCTGAAATTCCTTATTTTCAGCCTAGTTTTGTGTACCTACACTGAATTTTCAGTGTTGAGATTTTTGTGACACTGATTTTTTCAGCCTTTACTTCATAGCTAACACTGATGTTTCAGACTTTTATCGAAGTGTACACTGAATGCACATTCCGAATCCTTCTCGTAAAACACCCGACAATAAGTCAACCAATATTTCCACATAATAAAATCTTGTGTGAAAAATACTGATCGTCGCCTCGATGAACTGGCTTAGTGGTTAGCGAAGTAGCTACCGAATGGAAAGGTTTCCTGTTCAAATCCCTCTACTAACGTGTTCGTAAAGGCTACCCTCTTGCTCAATTGCATGATGTGATTGAAAATTCAGGCTTTTGTTTTCCGGAACCCTGAAAATTCAGGCTTTTTGTTTTAGGAACCCTGAAAATTCAGGCTTTTTTTCACAGGGACCCTGATGCATCAACGTCCCTAAAAGTGAATCTGAGGGTCTGCTGTACATGATTTGCAAGTTCTTGTAAATTGGCACTAGTGGGCCACATCAAAACGATAAGCACTTTTGAGTCTAGCTCAGGAGCGTTCTTTTTAGTATTAAATGAACAAATTTGTTTGTACGGTATCTGTGAATCTACAACAACAGATTTTTCAATAACAACAGGACTACTGATCACCCATAAATTACATTAACATCACAACAAAAAACTGAGAGCGTCTAGTCCTTGCAACTGTATTTATTTGCCACACCCATCCTCCATGAAATTACTGATGCTCAGAGTGCCCCTCCTCCCAGCAACGCAAACACGTCATGGTGCTGCGTGTTGCCACTCTTAAGGGGCTTCAAATGCCTTCACTTGCCAACCCCATCCCCATCTCCCATAAAGTCACTAATGCTGACAGTATCCCCTCCTCCCAACAGCGCAAACACGTCATGGTGCTGCGGGTTGCCACACTCCCCTCCCACCGCTCCCAGCATCTCCGAATCCATGCGAGATTCAGTAGCAGCATCACAGAGGAAAGGACGTGCAGCAGCAAAACCAGCAGCACCAGCACCAGCACTGGCAGCATCAGCACCGGCAGCAGCACCTTCTGCACTCCTCCCAGCACCGGTAGCAAATGTGTTTCGAAATCCCTCTGCCTCTCCTTCCTCTCCTCTTCCACCAGCATCTCTATTCGCTCGAGAAGAGGCCACTGCTATAGCCAGAGCAGCAGCCACTGCAATCCGTGAGGAAAGGTCCCTCGGAGGACTGCTGCCGCTCCCCGCATTCCCGTGACCATGCCCTCCCTGGTCCTGCCCTGATGGGTGACCCATCTGCTGCTCCCTCCTCGGTACGTCCGACTCACCACCCGCTCCTCTCCCCATGCCGTTTCCTGAGCCGCCTTGCCCAGAATTCCCCCTTCCTCCTCCTCCTCCTGCTCCTGCTCCTGCCGCTCCTCTGCCTCCTCCTCTTCCTCCTCCTCTTCCTCCCGCTGTGTTCCTCTGATGCTGCTCAATCTGCCTGAGAATCACACGGGCCAAGTCAACCACCTCTGGGTCCTCCGCTGCAGATCCCACATCCGGGAGCAAGTTTGCGTAACCCCCTGGGAGCGCTGGTAACATGGGTAACATGGTAACCAGGTCTTCCATGGACTGCCCAGAAGCCAGCCGCCTGCTTTCGGCTTCCTCCATGCCGCCTCCTGCAGCGAATTCGTCACGATCGCGCTCGTTATAAGCACGTGCCCTAGAGAAACCAACAGAGGGGGTGCCTGCAGCCACGGCTCCCACTCCTGCTGCTGAAGAGGTGGGAAGCGCCCTTGGAGCGTGGAATGGAGTGTTAGGTGTGGCTGCAGAGGCAGCAGAGGAGAAAGCAGTCGATAAGGCGGCAGAATGGGCGCGAGCGAGGGAGAGCAATCCACTCGCGTTTATAGGGTATTTGGGGGGGGATCCCTCCAGTCCGTGGGGTAGAGTTGCAATTCCCCCAGCAGCAGCACCACCACCAGCAGCAGAGAAGGCAGCAGAGTGGACACGAGCGAGGGCAAGGGCTCCGATCATATCTGTAGGGTACCCATGGGAAGAACCCTCCGTCCCAGGGTGTACACTTGCGATTCCCCCAGCAGCAGTACCAGCAGCAGCAGCAGCAGCAGCAGCAGCAGCAGCCTCAACAGCAGCAGCAGCAGCTGCTGCAAAAGGGCCTGGACTAATCGGGTTTAAGGGAGAGGCGCCGCTGGGAACAGGAATCTCAAGCCAGTGGGAAGGCTGGAAGGCAGACGCAGCAAGCGAGGGGGGCTGGGGTGAGCAGGTCGGGGCAGAGGGAGCGTGAGGGACGTCTGGGATAGGCATGAAGTCGTTGAGAAGGCTCCCTAGCTGCGTGGAGATCGGGTCTGCTGCTTGTGGGACGTGCACACTAGGAAAGCTCGCTCCATCCTGCATTGCATGAGCCCCCTTCTCCTCCTGCTCCTCCTGTTGCTCCTGCTTCACCTGCTTTACCAGCTCCTGCTGCTTCTGCCGATCCTCCCACTCCTCGATCTCTTCCATATCCCTCTCCTCTCGCTCCTCCCTCTCTCTCCGTGCTTTCCTGGCTGTCTGCATTTCCTGCGATTCTAGGCCTTCTTGGGATTCCTGGGGTTCTTGCATGTGTGAGTCACTTTGCACTTGCACCAACTCTCCCAGTCCCACTCCCTCCTTCTCTCCCCTCCTCTCTCCCTCGCTCCCTCGCTCCCTCTCTCCGTCCGACTCTCCCTCCCTCACCCCCTCGCTCACTCCCTGTAGCGGCCATCCCTCCTGCTGCTGCTGCTGCTGCTGCTGCTGCTGCTGCTCCCAAGACGCCCAAACCTCCTCGAGATGAATCCTGGCCTCAGTTGGGACACGTGGCGGCTCCTCACTGGTCAGCCATGCGCTGCTGGCATCAATCCCCACGCTTGGAAGCACGGCGCTGCTCCACCTCTCCAGATTCACTCCCTGCCTCCTCTGCTGCTGCTGATTCTGCTGCTGCAGCCGCTGCTGCTGCTGCTCCGACTGCTCCTGCTGCTGCATATGCTGCTGTTCCCCCTCTTGCTGTCCCTCTTGCTGCCCCTCCTGCTGCCCCTGCTGCTGCCCCTGCTGCAGATTCAGGTTGTGCATAAAAGCAGCAGAGAGGTTAATATCCTCATCAACATTCTCCCTTCCACCTTCCTCCCCGCTACCATCCTCCCTTCCAGAATCATCCTTCTCCTCTCCTGCCTCTTGCGAATACCGCCTTTCAGAGGTTCCGAAACTCCCCTCACCCGCCCCCTGAGGCTCAGGAGTGTGCATACGGCTCCTCTTGCCGCACCGCTGCTCATCTGAATCAGCCATCCCATACCCAGCAGCCCAGAACTCCGCGCTAGGATTAATCAACTCCATAGCGTGTGTCCCCGGTCCTGCTGCTGCTCCCCCTCCTCCTGCTGCTCCTCCTGCTGCCCCTGCTTCTCTGCCCGCGATCGCAGCAGCATCGGCCACAATACCTGCTGCAGCCACACCAATCACCTCCTCTTCCACCAGCAACCCAGCCACACTCCTCTGAAACCTCTCCAACGCCTCACCACTCCGCACCCTCCCCCTCCACCCTCCTAGATTCACCCTCCTCCTCGCACTCCTCCTCCCAGGTGTTGCTGCGAGGGAAGGAGAGAGAGAACCGTATACAGGAAAAGAAAAGGATGAGGTGACAGCTTGGGCGGGGTTGGGGTTTCTAAATGGGGCTGATGAGTGCGTGTATGTGTCTTCAACAGCAGCAACGGCAGCAGCCGCAGCAGCGTTGACAGCAGCAGAAGCAGAAAAAAAGCCCCCGCTGCTGCCGCCGCCGCCGCCGCCGCCGCCGTTGCCGCCAAAGTCGCCACCAGCAGCAGCAGCAGCGGCGGCAGCGGCGGCAGAAACAGCAGCAGCAGCACCGAATTGTGAGCTTTCAAAGGGCCGCTTGCGCACGTTGCTGGAACCGGGAAGAACCACGTGCGATCCAAACGGGTTTGTCCGGCTTCTTGAATGATCTCCTAATGCTGCGAGGGCATCGGCAGGTATGGAGGACGCTGGTGCGGAGGTAGCAGAGGAGGGGGAGAGGGGTGCAGAGGCAAGGAGGCGACTCGACAAGGCGGCTCGGGGAGGAATGGAAGGCAGTGAGGGAGGAGACATGGGTATGCTAAAGGAGGGATTCGTTAGCTGTTGAGTGCGCTGAAGTGCCTGTTGCTGCAAACGCTGTTGCTGCTCTAGCTGGTTCTGCAGTTGGGACTGCAACTGCTGCTTATGTTGCAGCTGCTGTTGTTGCCGCTGCTGTTGTTGCTTCTCCTGCTGCTGCTGTTGCTGATGGTAATGCTGCAGCAGAACAGCAAGCTGCAACTGTTGAAGCTGCACATTACCTGATAAGCCCTGCCTCTCACCCATCGGTTGATCGCTCACGGCCCGCGCTCCTAACCGCTGCTGCTGCTGCTCCAAAAGCATCCCTTCTCTTTCAGGGGTACTTGCTGGGTTTCCCTGCATCCCCGTCTTCGTTACAAACTGCTGCGTTTGCAGGTTATTCGACGCGAAAGCGCGGACACGGCCAGAAGCAATTGCCGAAGACTGGTGCAGTGTGACGGTAGTATCTGCATCGGCAGCAGGATCAACTCTTGCAACCAGCGGCTCGAAAATCCCACCTTTCTGAACCCTCCCCCCATGACCGCTACCGCCGCTACCTTCACGCGAAGAGATCCTTTGGTCCAGATCTTGCATTTCAGGGCAGGCTGCTGACGTGGAGGCTCCTGGTTGGGCAGCAGCTTTTGCTGCTGCTGCTGCCGCAGTATCCACGTCCCTACTAATACTACTACTAGTAGCAGCTGCTTTCCTCTGCTGCCCTGTCTCCTGTCCAACCGTCTGAGACGGTCCGCCTAAAATCACCTGCTGGCCGCCTTGGTGGTTGTGCTTGTTGGTGTAAGATACCTGCACGTTCTCGTCTGTTACCACTGCCTCTGGATTGCGGTCGATGGTCTTTTTGGCCGGGCAGCTCGCTCCCTTACTAGTGTAACCACAGCGATAGTATGCCCTGTGAAAAAAAACAATGGAAAAACTGGCGATAAGAATAATTTTTGTTTTTTATCTAGAGAAAAAAATGCGGCATTTATGGAAGTCACTTGGTTTGTCCTGAGGCCAAAAGAATTTAATCAATAAAAGAAAGAAATTAAGAAAGAGATAATAAATAACAACAAACAAGCAAAAACAAGGGCCAGGTTTCCGGCTCGATTTTTCAAATGCAGTTTCAAGCCATAGAAACTGGAAATCCACCACAGACTGGAACAAGAATGTCTTTCACATATTTCAAAAAATCTCCGTCACTTTTTAACTGACTTGCTTACCTGATGATTCCGGTTCTCATGAGTGGCTTCTCGCCGTACTTGAGCCAGTGATGACCGTCCTTCGCGACGATTTCCACCAATTTCTGCCGATCGCGCCATTCCCTGATTGCCGCCGAATCCGCCAATCCTTCTGTTGCCGGCGGCCCGGAGTCATCATGATCGCTGGTATTGGAATTCATTTTCTAGAAGTTCCCTAGAAGAGAAATTGTTGAATTCTGGCTGAGATTCTGCGCTATCTCATTACAATGTGCCGTCTGCTATTCTTTGCCAGTGTGCAAGTTCTATTCCGAGAAGCAGCTCGCAGTAACGGTGAACGTTGGCTCCAGCTGAAGAAAATGGGAGGAGGTTGTGAGAAGTGATACAAGAAAGCCAACCAACGCACTATTTGAGCATGAACCACTGATGCGACCACTGAGGACGAAGGCGGTGCACTTGAGGTAAAATTTGTTTTGGCTGTAACGTGTGATCGAACCTGTCTCTATGTGGTGGAGATCTGGTGCTTCCGCCACTGTCGCCGCTGGCAATGAGGCACGTCCAAGAACATTCACGGGCAGTGCACAGTAAGTTAACGGCTGCAAATATTTTTCGGGCAGGTCACGCGGCATCTCTGGCGATCACGTCCGTCATCTCTTGCTAATCCCAACGATCACGGGTCGCAACGCGAGGCTCACAACTGGACACCTGTGGTTGGAGTTGTGACCAATGGGAGCACGTACAGAAAACGTCGCCGTCAGGTTCAACAAAAGCCGACAAACTAGTGAACGACTAGACGGGATAATAATCATTGCAGTCGGCTAGTTTGCCGACGTCCAAAAGAGTAAAAGACGAACTGGCCGGCGATTTAGCCGGTAAGTTTTTGGAGACCGTCAGAAATCAGCGCTACCTTGGGGATCCGCTCAGCTGCTGCCAGCAATATTATTTGTTGGATACAGAAGCTGTGACCGCAAAAAGAATCATTCTATTCGCGAAGACGGCATCTTTACCAGCAATTCGTCTGTTTAGCCTTTCGTTCCGCTAACGGCCGACAATAATGGGCCAACAGAACGTCTAGCTAGACAGCTTGTACACATACGTGTGGATGCAACTGTTATACGTCTGTTGACCTGGGTGTATTGGCACCATTCGAGAACGACAAGCTGTCCTCGCTGATGCCAGGTCAAAGCTTTGCAGGGTGTTTGGCCCGGACATGACTACAAAGTCGGAGAACGATGAAAAGAACTAACTGGCTGAAAGGACGATGCATTTCACCTTGGATTTGAGCATAGTGTGTCCAATTGTTATAGTAGAATTTGAATAAAGCGACTGCGATGACTTCATTGGTGTCAGCAAAAAGGTCAACGCTGAAGCGCATAATGGATTAACGCACGCCCGGCCTATCATGGGAGGTTTATAATCAACCCCATTCCGGGCCGGGCGGCACGAAAGTCGAACCCTGAAATCGAAGGGTGTCCCACACGAATGGACAGACGGGTTGACACTTCAGAAGCAGGCTTTTGTTTTTGCGTGTCATTTTTCCGTGTTGCCCGCGGCCAGCCACCTGGCAGGCCAATCCGTCGATATCTCGGTTTGTAGGTCTAGTTGGAGCGTTTTTTCCATGCAGGTTCGAGCAGTTAGCAGAATTTGCCCAGTAGGGTACAACTCTTTAGTAATGGGGTGGTTCGTGAAATAGCTTTCATGGACGAGGTGGAAAATGAAAGGAGACGAATTGAGAGTGCCTGGTGTACACAAGATGCCCGTTTGAATAGCCCAAGGTTGCCTTGTAAGAAGGGCTCTTAAGTGATTCTTTTATTTCGCTAAGTTTTCGTCAGTTCGCACCTAGCAAAAAGGGCTTTTAAAAGATTTTGTAACTCTCTGTTGACCGTTTGACGTTGGTCTCTTCTGTCAAACTTCGGTTTTTGTGGTTCGGATTGCTCGAGGTGCTTGTAAATGGGGTGCAACTGTCTAGCACCCTAATACACGGGTGCAGAGTTTCCATCGTGGGCAGGGCAAATTCGCGCGCAGGGGTTGGGCATCTTGTGTAGTGGCCAAGTTGACTTCTGGAAACTCCAGGGTTTCAGAGTAGCAGAGTGTAAGGAAAATTCCTTTTCCTTACTTCGCATCCCTGCTCAACGCGTACATCACTGTAGCACCACAGTCGGCACCGTTACCACTCGCAACCCTCGCATCGACAATCCGCCCGCCACCTTCGCACATCGCACCCCGACCTCACGGCTCGGCGAGTAACCCGCGCTCCGGGCCTCCGCTTCGACACTTTTTCCCAACCTCAGTCCCAGGCCCGTCGCGCGACAACCACAGTCCATTACCGTTACCACTGTAGTTTCGCTATATATTCTTCGCTCATGCCTTCGCTCATTGTACTCTTGTTTCGATAGTGCAATTCTCGTTCGTTCACTCAATTGCACTCGTAACACTTGGTATTCAGAGCCTACGATCTCCTCTCGGACCGCACCCACACCTTCGCTTCCCCACTATCTCAATTTTTGGGGGGGGTAGACGTCTCTCAGCGACACAGCACCGCCGCTCGTAGTGCTCTCTCGTAAACACGCACGGCCACGAACGAGGCTCTCGCTGAGCTCGCTCGACACCCCCGCCATGGCTGAATTCACGCTCGCCACATTGACGCAGGAGCAGCTCGACCGTCTGGTGCGCCAACTTGAAGATTCGGCGCTCGAAATTGCGACGCTCACGGCGGAACGTGACTCCGCGCGTCAGCAATCAACGATGAATACTCCAGCGCCACCACACGCACCGACAAATGCATCTGCACAATCAGACGAGCCGATCATCATCTCGTCCGGCACACCAACACAAAACAACAGCGTGGGACAGCGCTCAGGCGCAGCCAGCGATGGCGCCGCCCAGCCGATGCCTGGCATAGGAGGAAACAGGGTCGCACCAAGCCCGCGGGAGCCTCGCGAAGCCCGTCGACACGTGGAGTTCGTGGCGACAAGTGGCGAACAGACCATTATGGCACCAATGCCACTCAAGCTGCAACGCCCGCCCTGCTTCGACCCGAGCCAGCGTGGAGGTCCGACGGTTCAATCGTGGGTCTTCACGATGAACGTCTTCTTCGACGCGAATTACGTCGAGTCGGACGCAGCGAAGATTCGGTATGCCGTTTCGCTGCTAAGGGGCCCCGCCATGGACTGGTGGCGAGTCATCGTGACGTCGCCACGCGCCTATGAGCCACCGTCGCAAGAGGAAGGGCCCACGGGCCCAGCTGTCACCTGGAGTTCATTCTGCGAGATCGCCCAATACAGCACGTGGGATGCGTGGTGCGCAGGGCTTCGGGCGCGCTTCGAGCCGATCGCGGCTTCGATTTCGGCGCGTCAGAGATTGCGCACTTGGCGGCAGCTTGGATCGGTTCAAGACTATACGAGTGGTTTTTTCGCATTATGCGAGCAAGTCGGCTACATGCACGAAGCGGAGCGGGTGGACCGTTACGTCGGAGGGCTGAAGCCGGACATCTCGCACGAAATCATGCTACGCGGGCTCTCGAACTTCAACGAGATTCTCGCGCTCGCCGAGAAAATCGACATTTTACGCCGTCCGAGACCGAGGTCCTACTATGGACATCGTCCTCGGGGACCGATAGAGCACGCCACTGTACACGCTGTTGCGACGAATGCAGCTGCCGCGCCGTTTAAGGGGCGCTGCTTTGCTTGCAACAGGCCGGGCCACCGCAAGAGCGAATGCCCAGAGGAGCTAAGGCGCCGCGGAGCAGAGCAGGGGAGGGAGTCTCCAAAGCAGGGAAACGCCAGCAGTCAGTAGGAATCGGGCCAACTACTGACGAGACTGCCTGCT